TTTGTTTCTGGGCACAGGCTTTCTCTAGTTGCGGTGAGTGGGGGCTACTCTTTGTTGCAGTGCTAGGGCTTCTCGCTGCGGTGGCTTCTCGTTGCGGAGCACAGGCTCTAGGCATGTGGGCTTCAGTAGCTGTGGCTCGCAGGCCTTAGAGCGCAGGCTCAGTAGCTGTGGCGCACGGGCTTAGTTGCTCCGCAGCATGTGGGATCTTCCCGGACCAGGGCTCAAACCCGTGTCCCCTGAATTGGCAGGTGGATTCTTAACCACTGTGCCACCAGGGAAGCCCGAGAGGTATGTCTTATTCTATGATTATCGTCCTGTTTTAGACATGACAACAATGAGGCTCAGACTGGGAGGTGACTTGTCCTAAGTCAAATGGGCAGGAATTGGCAGAGCCAAGTTGGAGACCCAGGTGGTCTGACCCATACTGGAGCCCTGCTCTGTGGCCTGGTCAGAAAGGGGGGCCCTGAGAAGATGAGGCCTGCCCCTGCCCCGCGGCCCCCACCTCTGTGCGGCTGAGGAGGGTGGAGCTCTTGGCCAGAGCAGGGCACTGCAGCAGTTCCCAGGAATGCAGGGCTGTGGGGCCGTTTGCTTTGGTAGCATATCTGCCCTCAGCTCCCCAAGCCTCCCTGTGGGCCCCCCCAATAGTCAGCCCCTCCAGCACCCACTCACAGCCTGCTGTCCCTCCTGGGCTCTGCACCTAGTTCCCACAAACCCCTGGGCAGGGAGGGGGTGGGAAGCCAGACCCCCTTCGCCTGCCCCTTCCCACGTCCATGGGCCCAGGAGGGGCTAATGGTGAACACTGCTTCTGGGCTCACGTGGGCTTGAAACCCAGCTCTGCCACAGACAAGCTGTGTGACCCTGGACAGATCACTTAATCTCCCTGAGCTTCAGTTTTCACATCTGTAAATAGGGATGAAACAACACCTGCCTTAAACAGTGGGCATGCCACCCACTCATGAAACCTGGGCCAGAGGTCTCCCCTCCCAGCCCTCAGCTTCCCCCTCTGTAAGACCCACGTGCTGACAATGATGGTCCCTGTACCAGATGCAGGGGCACCCTTCCAGATGCAGGGAAGCCAGGGACTCACTTCTGCTTTCCATTCCATAGCAAGAAAGTCACGTGGGCTTTTGAGAGGTACCTCCTGGGTCCTGGTCCCCAAGTCCTAGGCTGGACAGGTCATGGCTGCTCAAAGGGCAGTTTCAAGACAACCCCTGGGAATAAGGCGTGTGCCTCTCGTTGCCCTGATAACACTGTTACCCTGGCGCTCGCTCACCTGGTCCCATGCTGCTGTGGGGTGGGCAGGGAGGCCTCTCTTACAGGGGCCCAGTCCTCTATTTCTGCCAGGGAGACCCTGAGCGCTTCTCAGGGGCCGTGCCAGGCCTGCCGCCTCCGTCCACACAGGCTCCTTTCCCGGCTCAGGCCCAGCCAGCGGCCCTCTCCCAAGCAGGGACGAGGGGCTTTCTCCAGAGCAAATTCCTGCCGGCCGCTCCCATTAGCCTGGTGACCTTGAGCCTCAGTTTCCCCATCTGTGCCACAGGGAAACCAACGGCGTCACTCACAAGTGCGACTTTAGAGGGTTCAGAGAATTCGTGCACAGACGGCTTCTGGCACATGGTAGGTGCTTAATGGATGCTGACCCCCGATTTCGGGTGTGCGTTCCACCCCAAGCCGCAGGACCCTGGCGGAGGCGGTGACTTGTCCCGGCCTTAGTTTCCCCGAGGGGCCGGCCCCGCCCCCCGCTGGGGTGGGCCGGGCTGCCAGGTAGGGCCTGGAGGACGCTGCGGGCGCTGCAGTTGGGGGCCGTCTGCGCGCGGCCGGAGGCCGCACAATAGCGGCCATTGTCTGCGCTCGGACAGAAGGCGGGCGCGACGGGACGGGGGCCGGGCCCCCAAGGGCCACCGCGGCCCACCCTCGGGGTGACCCCTCCCCGCCCCCGCCGCCCCGGTGGTCCCCGCGCCACCCCCGCGCGCTCCCACCCGCGCCGCTTCCTCCCGCTCCCTCCGCCCTAATTAGTTCCTTTCGCAGCTGGAGCAGCGGCGCCCGGCTGCGCGGCCACCTCGGCGCCGCCTCCCCGCCCAACCCCCGCGCTCGGGGACCGCATGACCCCGCGCTAGCGGGGCGCTTGTCGCCTCACCTCGCGATCAGCGGGAAACTGAGGCCAGGGTTCCGCAACCAGGCTCCGCGCTACCTCAAGAGACTCGCCTCTACTCTCAGCGAGGCGGGTCATCCTTCGGAGCGCCCCTCTCCCTTCTCCGGGAAACAGACACCGAGTGTCCACCTCCCCACCCCCAAATCGATCGGGTGATGGCTGGCTGCCGGCCTCCGGAGGTGATCACAGCGCCAGTCCCGGGGTTCCAGGCCCATCTGCGTACCCACTATGGGCCTCTAAGGCCCAGGAGAATGTGACCCTGGCTCTGGACTGCCCCCATCACCCAGCCCGGGAACAAAGAGCAGAGCCCGAGCCCAGAACTGGCCACTGCTGGCTAGGGGTGGGGGGTGGAAGGGGACACTTTGAGGTTGGCCAAGGTCAGAGTAGGAGTGGGGGGTCACAGGCATCTCCCCTTGGGTGGGGCAGCCTAGGGTGGGGAGCTGTGGGCTTTTGGGGGCGGCTCCTTCCTCCTTTCCCAGGAGTGGGGAGGCTGGGCCTCCTGGCTGGGCTCTGGCTTTCATCAGAATGAACCCCTGTTCCCAGGGCAGGACCCAGTGGCAGGAAGTGGAGGGGGGGTCTCTGGGGACTGGATCTGCTGATTAAGGGGGGTGCTGTAGGCCCAGCCTCACCCTGGGAGACAAGCTCCTTTTGGGGTCCTCCCTAGTTCTGGGCTGAGGCAGTGTCTCCTACAAGTCTTCAAAACAAGGTGACCCATGGCTCCTCCCTGGCTCCCCTCTGGCCTTAGGAGAGAGCATAGGGCAGGTGCCAAAGGATGTTACTTAGGCAGTGTTGCCAATGAGAGTGTCAGTCTGAATTCCCAGTTCCCAATCCATCCTGCCCTCGTGGTCCCCTTCTCCAGAAGGTTGGGTAGGGGGTTGGGGGACAGAGGCTGTGGGGAGGCCTGTGGCTCTAGGCCAGCTGAAGGACCAGGCCACCAGCCCTTCCTGGCTCCTGAATTCTTAATCAGCATAAATATTTACTTCCTTCCTCCCCTTCCAGGCTCCCAGCACAGAGGAGCTTCAGGGAGGTTGGACTGGGCCTGTGTCTAAAAATAAACAGGTGGAGGGACAGGCAGACACACAGACAGACAGACATAACTGGGAGGGGGGGGGGGTCAGGCAGAGGGCAGCTCCCTGCCCAGCCAGAGGAAGAGTGGAGGGGGCCCAGGTCCATCCATCACTGTCACCTGCCCACCTGGGTCTGGAGCTCCTAAGGGGACAGCGTGGCAGTCTGGTCCCAGCTCTCTGGCATCACTGGGAGCCCCTGGCCCATGCATGGCCTGCAGGTTAATCCAAACAGATCTGCCAGCTCTCACCTGATGGAGTTTAACAGGGAAAAGTAAAGTCACAGACCTCAGTCCCACAGCCAAGTGTGGCCACCCGTTCTCTGATAATGCTGCCCCCTCCCCAGGCTCAGAGACTCCAATGTTAGCCATGTGCTGGGGTCTTGGGATGTGTCCCCAGAAGCAGAGGGTACTAAGTGAGGGAGGGGACCACTGTTACCTGTGTGTGTGGAGGGTATTGGCAGAAGTGGAGCTTGTTGGGGAGACGGATGAGCCCGGGCTTGGAGCTGGGGCAAGCTCCAAGTTGCTGAGGGGCTTGGTCTGGAGAAGATGAGTGAGGATGTGGGGTCCCCGTCCTGCTCCATGCAGAGAGCTCCAGGCAGCTCTGCAAACATACACACAGGTGAAATACACGAAGTCTTTTACCATGTGGTGGTCTCAGGGATGTTCCCTATTAAATTGTGAAGAGCTAGATTCCGTGAACGACAGAGAGTATCTTGTTTGGCAGATAGATTTTCAGGGTGTGATCATCTCAATTAACAAACACAAGGAAACACCATTTCCCCGCATGTGAAAAGATTGCTGCTGTAAAAAATGATTTGGAATAAAGGACCCTTGCTCTTGGGTCACTTATATGTGAAGAAAATTACACCATTGAGAAATTCAAAGTGGTGAAAATTCACCACTCAAAATAAAAGAATATCATCATCATTAAAAAAAAATTATGTATGTATGTGTTTTACTAACCACTAGACAGCCCATCACTTCCCCCTACCCTGCCCCTGGATGGCCTGGCTGGGCCACAGTCCCCAGCTGCCCCCTGGTGGTAGCCCAGAGCCCTCAGGCTCCCCACGCCTGTGGGACCCTCTCCTTGGACTGACTGCCCCTGGGAGGCAAGGCCACCTGTCTGTCTGCCCAACCCTTGGGGCCAGGCCAGGCTTCGCACAGCTTGCCTGGGACAAGCTCTCAGCCTCATTCCCTTGGAGGTGACCACAGCTGCCTAGGTGCTAGCGGTCAGTAACTAGCACCTCTGAGAGCCACCTGGGAGGACAGTCATTGCCCTCCTGGCCTGGTTCTGGGTCTTCCAGCTCACACCAGCCATATGTCCCAGGCGTGACTTCCCAGTCAGAAATGACCTGTGGGACTTGCCTGGCCAGTTCCAGGGAGGAGATGTGGCCTTGAATCTGATGGTTCTGCCACTTCCTAGCTCTGCAACCTGAGACAGTGTCGCTAAAACTCCATTCATGGCAGGATGGACCCTGTGAGCTTTGCTTCCCAGAAAAGTCTCGTGGGAAATGGAGGAGTTAGCTGTGGGTTGGTGGTTGGCTCACCATGATACCTGCTGTCCAGAGCCACTCAGAAGGTCTCTCTACCCAGGGAGAGAGCCTCCACACTGCCCAACACCCACCGCCTCTCCGCTCCTGTGGGCTTTAATGGGCTCAGCCCGAGGAGGAGTCTGGGGTCACAGTGTCACAACACAGCTCCTGTCCTCTCCCAGGTTCCTGCCTGAATACCAGCTTGGGAGCCCCTCGCTGCCTGCTGCCGCCCCCACCCCCAGCCCCCATCACCATGCACTCCTTGGACGAGCCGCTCGACCTGAAGCTGAGCATCACGAAGCTCCGGGCGGCGAGAGAGAAGCGGGAGAGGACACTGAGTGCAGCCCGGCACCGAGCTCTGCACAGGGAGCTCGGCCTGGTAGATGACAGTCCCACCCCGGGCTCCCCGGGCTCCCCGCCCTCAGGTACTGTGCCCGGGCAGGGCAGCAGTCTCTGAGCCCTGATGGAGCCCTGGCGATAGGAAAAACGTCCCAGGTGTATCCACCAGGACATAGTCACAGCCCCTCACAGCCTCACTTAGAGCGCTCTCCAGACTGTCCATCCACCCTCCCAGCAGTTTATCTTTGGAGGTGACACTGTCCCTTGGAGGAGGGAACTGACTTGCCCAGCTCCTGAAGCTGGCACAGCAGAGCCAGGATTCAGACTGAGGCCTCTGGGAGAATTTGGAGGAGCTGGTAAGGGGCACGGGGGATTCATGGGTAGTAACAAAAGGTCCCGTGGCCCAGTGTCTGGGCTCTGAGGCAGAGTGGTCGGTCAGCCAGACCAATTGAGACTGGGGACTGAGCCCAGCAAGTGCTTCTCAGGGGGTGCTTGGGGCTCAGGTCTGCTCCATCTCTGGTGGACCCTGAAAACCAGATCTACCACGTCTGAGCTGGAAGGCTCTGGAAGCAGCCCAGCCCAAACCTTTCATGTTACAGAAGGGGGCAGAAAGGGACAGGAGAGAAGTGAGAAAGGTCCCTACCTGACATTGTGATGAGGAACCAGGGGCCCTGGGTTCCAGTTCCTATTCAGTTACTTACCCTGTGTGCCAGCCCGTTCCCATCTGTAAAATGGGTACTTCCCATCTTAACCAGTGGCTGAGCTCTCACCACAGCAGAGGTCACATTTGTCACCTGTACAGGCTGCTACTCAGATTCCTGGGTCCCAGGGT